ACACTAGACCTCATCTTCACTAACAATGATGATCTGATAAGAAATGTCACCATATCAAAAACAATATACTCAGATCACAACATAATTGAGGTTCAGACATGTATGCGTGGAGCCCCAGACCGACATAATGAGACTAGTCATGAGGGAGCATTCACCAAATTCAACTTCAATAACAAAAACATAAAGTGGGACCAAGTAAACCAAGTCCTAACCGATATAAGCTGGGAAGATATACTAAGCAACACAGACCCCAACTTATGCCTAGAACAGATTAACTTGGTGGCACTCGATGTATGCACAAGGCTTATTCCTCTAAGAAAAAGGAGTAGTAGATGTAAAATAGAAAGAGACAGGTGCTCCCTTTACAGGCGAGGGAAAAAAATAACAGACTAAAAGAGGTCAATATATCTGAAATGCGTAGGGAGACACTGGTCAGAGAAATAGCAAGCATCGAACTCAAGCTAAAGGAATCTTATAGGAGTCAGGAATCGCGGGAAGAACTAAAAGCCATAAATGAAATCGAAAGAATCCCAAAGTATTTCTTCTCCTATGCCAAATCAAAGTCGAGAACAACGTCCAGTATTGGGCCCCTACTTAAACAAGATGGGTCCTACACAGATGACAGCAAGGAAATGAGTGAGCTACTCAAGTCCCAATATGACTCAGTTTTTAGCAAGCCGCTAACCAGACTGAGAGTCGAAGATCAAAGTTAATTTTTTATGAGAGAGCCACAAAATTTGGTTAACACAAGCCTATCCGATGTTATCCTGACGCCAAATGACTTCGAACAGGTGATAAATGACAAGCCCATGCACTCTGCCCCAGGGCCAGACTCATGGAACTTCGTGTTCATCAAGAACTGCAAGAAGCCCCTATCACGAGCCTTTTCCATCCTATGGAGAGGGAGCATGGACACAGGGGTCGTCCCACAGTTACTAAAAACAACAGACATAGCTCCACTCCACAAAGGGGGCAGTAAAGCAACAGCAAAGAACTACAGACCGATAGCACTAACATCCCATATCATAAAAATCTTTGAAAGGGTCCTAAGAAGCAAGATCACCACCCATCTAGAAACTCATCAGTTACACAACCCAGGGCAACATGGGTTTAGAACAGGTCGCTCCTGTCTGTCTCAACTATTGGATCACTACGACAAGGTCCTAAATGCACTAGAAGACAAAAAGAATGCAGATGTAATATATACAGACTTTGCAAAAGCCTTCGACAAGTGTGACCATGGCGTAATAGCGCACAAAATGCGTGCTAAAGGAATAACAGGAAAAGTCGGTCGATGGATCTATAATTTCCTCACTAACAGAACACAGAGAGTAGTCATCAACAGAGTAAAGTCCGAGGCAGCAACGGTGAAAAGCTCTGTTCCACAAGGCACATTACTCGTTCCCATCTTGTTCCTCATCCTCATATCCGACATAGACAAGGATGTCAGCCACAGCACCGTGTCTTCCTTTGCAGATGACACCCGAATCTGCATGACAGTGTCTTCCATTGCAGACACTGCAAGGCTCCAGGCGGACATCAACCGAATCTTTCAGTGGGCTGCAGAAAACAATATGAAGTTCAACGATGAGAAATTTCAATTACTCAGATATGGTAAACACGAGGAAATTAAATCTTCATCAGAGTACAAAACAAATTCTGGCCACAAAATAGAGCGAAACACCAACGTCAAAGACCTGGGAGTGATCATGTCGGAGGATCTCGCCTTCAAGGACCATAACATTGTATCAATCGCATCTGCTAGAAAAATGACAGGATGGATAATGAGAACCTTCAAAACTAGGGAGGCCAAGCCCATGATGACACTCTTCAGGTCACTTGTTCTATCTAGGCTGGAATATTGCTGCACACTAACAGCACCTTTCAAGGCAGGTGAAATTGCTGACCTAGAAAATGTACAGAGAACCTTCACGGCGCGCATAACGGAGATAAAACACCTCAATTACTGGGAGCGCTTGAGGTTCCTAAAACTGTATTCCCTGGAACACAGGCGGGAGAGATACATGATTATATACACCTGGAAAATCCTAGAGGGACTAGTACCGAACTTGCACACGAAAATCACTCGCTACGAAAGCAAAAGACTTGGCAGACGATGCAACATCCCCCCAATGAAAAGCAGGGGTGTCACTAGCATGTTAAGAGACCATACAATAAGTGTCAGGGGCCCGAGACTGTTCAACTGCCTCCCAGCATACATAAGGGGGATTACCAACAGACCCCTGGCAGTCTTCAAGCTGGCACTGGACAAGCACCTAATGTCGGATCCTGACCAGCCAGGCTGTGGCTCGTACGTTGGTTTGCGTGCAGCCAGCAGCAACAGCCTGGTTGATCAGGCTCTGATCCACCAGGAGGCCTGGTCACAGACCAGGCCACGGGGGCGTTGAACCCCGGAACTCTCTCCAGGTAAACTCCAGGTTTAGTGCTTGTGGGACTGTGAAATAAGCTGCCATGGGGCCATAGAAACTTGCTAGTGGTACCCCTGTGGTAAAGAAAGTGAGAAACACCATAGATGTGAAGAAGGAAATAATACAGAGGTATGAGAGTGGTGTGAGACTTGTTGAGCTTGCCAGGATGTATGGGAAAAACAAGTCGACCATCGGTTCTATCCTGTCAGAGAAAGAACAAATCAAGGAAGCTGATGTTGCGAAAGGAGTTAATGTAGAGAGTGGATGAGGTGCCTTCTTCAAAGATTAAGGAGATTTGTGCCAAGTGGAATGATGTCCAAATGTTTGTGCAGAAGTACCACCCTGAGCAAGCTGAAACAAGCCATCTTTACAACAAGTTCAGTGACAGAACCATGTCCCATTTTAGGGAAATGTTAAAGAGGCACCAGAAACAGAGGACTGTGGACAGTTATTTTGTGAGACAGGGGTCCAGTGACTCTCAAGCTGGTCCTAGTGGCATTAAAAGACAGAGAAGGAAGTAACCCCAAAGAGGGCTTTACCTGAAGTCCTCATGGAGGGGGATTCTCCTTCCAAACACTAACCCCAACTCCCTCTCTCCTCCTCCCTATCTTCCAGATGCCATCACCAGTCTTCAATAAAGGTAAGTAAAAATGTTATTTTATATGTATTGCTATACATAATTAAAAACTATAGTATTTGTTGTATGTAAAACTGTAATTAATCTCTATAAAATGTATTTTTTGTGTGAATATTTTTGGGTTGTTGGAACGGATTAATTGTATTTCCATTATTTCTTATGGGAAATATTGCTTCGAATTTCAGACTTTTCGAATTTAGAACTAGCTCCTGGAACAGATTAAGTTCAATTTTTGAGGTTCCACTGTATTCCCGATTGTGACCTATCACTCAGAACTGCTTGACTTATAAAATAGAAAGATGAAGACTAGGTAAGTCAAATGATTCTCTTCTTGAGGTAGGGACTGTGCTGAGTTTAAACTTCATTTATCTTTACTACTGTCTTGAGAAAGGTGAGTGTCCAAAATGAATTTGGGCCTACCTTCTACATCATTAGAAATAAAAGGAGTGATACATCCTGATTTTGTTTGTGACTGGTAAATGGATTTAAACAAAAATGCATTTAGTCAAGTTCATCCTCTCAAGATGAAACATGAAATATCTGGCATACTTGGTGAAATAAGTAGAGCTTTCTGGAAGGCATTTAACCCAATTGGACTATGGGGGAGCAATTTCTGAATGTAGTTTTCACCTTGGAGTACAGTCGTGTCATTAGGTTCTAAGCAGGGCTAAATTTGTAATGACTGTAAAATTTCTTTGGAATTAACAAATGAATCAGTGGATCCTTTTAGCCAGGGTAGTGAGGAAGGAGGCAAGGAAAAGAAGCAAATTTCATTTTTATATACTCAACTTTTAGATTTTGAATCACCACCTCTGTAAGAGTAGTCAATAGCCATCAAAGACTGCTCCTTCCTAAGCCTGCTTATAATTTGTCATCAAATTTACCCATCCTTAATAATAATATCTTTATTTACTACAAGTACATGTACAAGGTATACAGGCCTAGCTGACATCAGTGACATTACTGTAGAGAAAGCCCCTTGTTATGCTGAGCATTTCAGGCAAATTAAGTCAGTTTTGTCCCAGGATGCGACCCACACCAGTCGACTAACACCCAGGTACCCATTTTAAACTCATGGTGAACAGGGACAAGGACAGCAGGTGTCTTATGGAAACACGTCCCTAATGTTTTCCAGCCATACTGGAGGAGATTCGAACCCCAGATCTCAGTGTGTGAGCTGAGTGAGCTAGCGATCGAGCTACGGGACACCTAATGGGGACTACAGTAGGTTTATGAGCTATAGGATTTAGAGAGACTCCCTAAACTTATGAGGTGCATTACTGATGCCACATCACTGCTGTAAAGCTGGATGAAGTTACATACCATCTGTTACATGTGGCTCATAATTGCCACTATCACCATGATATACAATGCCTTACAATTGGACAAGTTTTTCTGTTTCCAATAATACCAATATTAGCCAATACCCACTAGTACCAACAATAATCAATTTCAGTCTGTTACCAATACCACCTATACCAATACTTTGGCACACCCCTATTTAAAATATTAAAAATAATTTCCTAAAATCTTATAATAAGTTGAACCTGTTCAAAATGCATAGTAGACTTTTAATGAGCTATTAATTCATTGGTCCGAATTAGTTATGTTTTTGCCTTTTTATTTTTGTTTCTTTGACTTTGGAAGATTTGACATTTATTTCATTATTTAAAATGTTTATGAAATAAAATAGTTTTTCAGTAAAGTTGCTGAATCTCAGTTTTTACAAGCATGTACTTTATGTAATCTGACTGTAAATAATGCACTTACTTGCAAGCTCATTTCTCAGAACTTTTCAGCATATTTTCGTATGTTCTTATACTAATTAAAAATGCACAGTTGATGCACATTTTTATCTCCAAATATTTTATTTGAAATGTTCAGTATTCATTACAAAAGTGGTAAGCTGTACCACAGTTTAATACATTTTGCAGGAGGTCGTTCAGTCAGTGTTGGTCCTGAAAATCGGTCTCCAAAACGAACTTCCCGCCCACCGTCTACGCATGCAACAGCACCCGCTACCAAGCCTGAGCGACGTCCAAGACCTAGTAAGTGCATTTTAGCTTGTCAAAAATATTGTTGATTGCAGTAAAAATGGTACTGAAAGTTGTAAGAGATGCTGATGGTGGTGGAAGGATGGCTCTTAAGATACATATTAGTAATATTAGTCATATCCTGCATTTGAAGATCAATCATTTTTAATACTTAAAAAAATACTTAATAATTATGGGCTGAAATAAGTGGTGATTTATATATATACAGTACATGTACATTGTGTATTATTATATTGAAAATTATTATATTTTTTTAAATCAAATTGTCCATAAAGATGGTAAATAGTTATTTTTTTTTTATTAAAGTCACATTCCTGATAATTGTTATTGCACTTTGGGAATCATATACTGTATGTATTTTCTTTAATTTTTTTTTATGGATTTTCATAACTGCCTGAAGATTTATATTTTGAATTGCATTCCACTGGCAAATGTTACCTCCTCTCCCACTTCATCATCTTTTACTTTCATTCCTAAGTAATTTATCTTGTGTTTAAGAGGATGATTGTTGAGAATCTGTAGGATTGACTGCATGGTTTATATAAGGCAAATTGTAAATCCGTGGTTATATTAGGGTACAATAATTTGACCATTTGGACTAAGTCAGTTTGCACTGTCTTCATCTGTATTCTATTATTATTTTTGTATGAATTGAATGCTTTTATGATTTTCAGTGGCTCTGTGTTGAATCTCTTCTGTCTATACAAGGTTTTTTGTTTTTAGTGATATGTAAAAGTGCATAGCTAGTGACAGTGTGCTTCTGGCTTTACCAGTTTTTTGTTAACATAGGAGCAGAGTTATTTTCAGTCTCATACATGCAACCTACAATATACAGCAATTTGTTCCCTTTTCTAAGTAAATTATATAGCACAGGTTTTATACATTGTCTCAGGAACCAGGGGATGGTAAATATAACCTGTGATGGCCAATTGAAATTAGATTTGGATGTGATATGATATTATAGAACTACTTGTGATTACTCTTGAATTGTATTTTGTTTTGGCAATTTTTTTAATTAGACTTCTATGGAGAGAGTGATAATTTCTGTGAATTCTTTCATAGTTAAATGCAGCTCTTGATATTAGGTTGCTTTATAAATCTAAAACCAGAAATAGTAAAATTGTCATACTCTGAAGAATGAAACAAAGAAAAAGAAAATTCTCTTCTAGAAAATATACTGCGTAAACATTAGTTTGAACAGGATCTATCAAAGTTTTCGTGTATAAAGTATTATTTGATAAATTTGAAGTGCCATTGTGTATGTTCTATAACTTTTTACAAGGTTTTTAACTTTGATAAATATACAAAAAATACTACGTTATGAAGAATTCAAAATATTGTTCAGGGTTTGATTCAATAAGCTACCCAGAGATATACCCTCTCTATCACCATTTTCACCTTCCTTCCACTTCTTCTGTCTGGTCACCTTCTGCTATCCATTCCTTGGAATGAATTCCTGTTTTCTGTGTCAAATTGGGACTACCCTGATTACCCAGTGTCCATAACCCCAGAGTCATAGCATCTTGCATAGAAAGGTGGCAGTCTTCATAGTTAATCAAACCAAGTACAGAAAAATGTTCTTCATTTGAAATATAGCAGTCTGTACATTTGGTTCTGATGAACCACTTGGGAAGTCTTCCAACAATACTTTAAATTTGAGGAGGCAGCTGTGATCAGAAGGCAGGTATGTCATGCTACTGTAGTACCTATATACAGAAACCCTGTTAATTTTTCAGCAAATGTTATAAATAATTTTGAATGATGAGGATGTGGAAGGATATAATCTGTATTAAGAGGCATTGAGCATGCATATTCCTACACCCTGAGAGTAAAGGATGGATATTTCAACCTCTCTGCCTGCCCGAAAAGCTATTGCCATTGTATTCATGCTCAGTCATGCTAAAAATCACATTTCACATACCCAGACATCTTTGTGTAATTGCTAGAAAAACATGTACACATCTATACTTGTGGCTACATCAGTGCCAGCACTTTGATCTCTGTCATTTTAATGGGATGCTCATTGTTTATATTGGTGTGGGGTCATGTCACACCATGGCTAAAAATATTAAGTATGGAACAGGATCCTATTTTGACCCCTTGGTTTTTATGGTCCATGTTGTGCTTGTTGGATCAGTCTGAAGCTTTCTCTGGGCTTGTTGGTTACTGCTGATTGCTGCTATGTACTGCACTTACAATTTATTAGACATTTATGTTATGCAGGGCCTAGTCCCAAATCTACACACCACCATAACAGTGTACTGGAGTGAGAGAGATGGGAAGAAGTGTAAAATAGATGCACTGAAAAGCAGGGATGTCATTGGCCAAATAAAAGAACATTGTTAATATTTATGGTCCAAGATTATTCAATCTGCTACCAGTAGACATTGGAAGTATTGTAGAAACAAGTGTAGATATTGTCAGTGGGAAACTAGATCACTTCCTCTGCCAAGGACCTGATAAACGGCAGTGTTAGCCAGTAAGCCACCATCAGCAATAACCTAGTTGATGACCAAGAAAACTCTCAAAACCAGTCACAGGTATATCATACAGATAACTGGCTCCTAGCCATTTTGTGGAAAGAAATTGGCATTGCATAAACAGTGATATTTTGCAAAACTTTATGAATCCAGTCTCAGAGTTTGATCTTTCATTAAGGAATTGCTTAGTGTATACCATTCTTGCTGTACCTAGTTATTCACCAGTAATAGTACCCCCATATAAATCTAGTTAATGTATTCTATATTGTCCACCTTAGGAATATATTCTGCATAGTCGTAGGTGACAGTGGTACTACCTGCTAATTGCATCCCATTAATAATCATATCCGAAGGTACATGTGCTACTAATGCCATGGAGCCAGACACACATTTCTTGTCATGTGTTAGAACTTAAGGCAGACTTGTGCTTTGATTATTGTATGCTGTGCTGATGCAATTCCTTACTTGGTTGAACAGAAAGTTTCTATAAACCAGTTAGATTAATAAGTTTTGTCTGTTGGAGTTCTTTGGTCATTGGTTGAACAGTGAAGTTAATTCTTTGTTGCCATATCTGGGTTTTACAACCAGCTCTGTGGTCACTCTACTCTCCTTACTATCTGTAATAAGATAGGTTATACATGCTCAGTATTTGAGGAAGAATCCTGACTTAAGCCTGAGTAATGCTTGTTTCTTCTGTATGGAGTAAGAAATGTTGTGATTTTTCTGTGTAACACAAGGAGTGTCTACATACTTGCACCAGAAGCTATGTACTTAGAGCAAGCAAAGACAACATATTTTATATACCACCTATGTTCTTGTCCTAGGTGTATAGTACAGACTAGGACTACCTTGTCTGTGTTGAACAGCGGTATCAGACCGAGAAATTTAGGCACCCTGGACAGGCTTATATTTTGGCACCCTTACAGATCAGTACCAATCTTTAAATTTTGTTAAGCACTATACTGGAGGCAGATAAATTTGATTTTCCATTAGGCCTAATGAGGATAAATTACATATCTTGTCCTTTATATTCATGCATTAAATGTAACATAACATTTTAACTTTCTGCACATTTAATTTTTAGTAGCAGTTGCCCAGCTAGCCTTTCCCTTAATCCACACTGTGGACACTGTAGGTGATTCCTGAATGCATAATGTATTTCTGTTGAAAAGTGTGTGAATGCCTTTTAAGTGGACTCAAACACCACAACAGTTCACTGCAACTCATATTTCACAAGCAACTGCAGTAAAGTACTAAATTATACTCATTAGCCACATATCTGTTGCTTTCTATGTAAGTCCTATAGGTGGAATGTACAGTACCTGTGAGTGAGGATGTTGTGGTTTGGAGGAATGTCTGAACAGTGACATCGGCACGCTTCTGGCAAGATTGGTCGAGTGATTGACTGTGAATGTGTTTGGGCTTATTTTTGTGTCACCCTTCTTTGGTAGGTGGTGGTCAGTAAGTTAAAAAAAAAATCCATATATGCAGTTTTTATTTTGCAGTAGAGAGTCAATTAAGACGTGCTCTGTTGGGATGTTTTCACTATATGATTTCAAAATTGTGGTATTTTTTATTATGACTCCATGAAGTTCATTTATGTTGGTACAACTTTAGGATAAAAATATGGAGCTTTTTTCTGTCTGTCTTGCAGGCAGCCAGCCTATGGGTTAGGTTATTGGCATTATGGGGGAGGCCTAGTTGCACTTAATGTGCACAACCTTTCAGACCTCAGAGTTCCACGCATACACTTTCCATACAATACTCAGGAGTGATTGATGGAATGATGAAGTAAAGGGTGTGATAAAAGAGAAAAAGTTAGCATATGAGAGGTTTTTACAAAGCAGAAGTGTTATAAGAAGAGTAGAGTATATGGAGACTAAAAGAAAGGTGAAGAGAGTGGTGAGAGAGTGCAAAAGGAGAGCAGATGATAGAGTGGGAGAGGCACTGTCAAGAAATTTTTATGAAAATAAGAAAAAATTTTGGAGCGAGTTAAACAAGTTAAGAAAGCCTAGAGAACGAATGGATTTGTCAGTTAGAAACAGAGTAGGGGAGTTAGTGGATGGGGAGATGGAGGTTTTTATGTAGATGGCGAGAATATTTTGAGGAACTTTTAAATGTCGACGAAGAAAGGAATGCAGTAATTTCATGCACTGGCCAGGGAGGTATACCATCTTTTAGGAGTGAAGAAGAACAGGATGTGTGTGGGGGAGGTGCGTGAGGCATTACGTAGAATGAAAGGGGGTAAAGCATCTGGAACTGATGGGATCATGACAGAAATGTTAAAAGCAGGGGGGATATATAGTGTTGGAGTGGTTGGTATTTTTGTTTAATAAATGTATGAAAGAGGGGAAGGTACCTAGGGATTGGCGGAGAGTATGTATAGTCCCTTTATATAAAGGGAAGGGGGACAAAAGAGATTGTAAAAATTATAGAGGAACAAGTTTACTGAGTATACCAGGAAAAGTGTACGGTAAGGTTATAATTGAAAGAATTAGAGGTAAGACAGAATGT